GTCACATTGAATGTTCACAGAACTGTGGCTCTCTCTGAATTTTAACCAAGGAGGAGAAATGAATCCTGTATTCATATATATATATTATTATATATCCACTTGAGAATTGCATGAACAATGTATCTAAGTTCCCTATTTCATGAATTGCCTTTCTTATGTGTTTGATCTATGTTGTTGGGAAACTCTAATGGGATAAGGTTTCAAACTTTGCAAACTGTGAGTAACCAACTCCATGTGAGGCAAGTTTGGATTCTCTGAGCTCCAATCTTCGTTTCCCATTTAGCCATTTATATCACATCTTGCTAAAACTTTGTGACACATAGGACTATAATAATTGTGAAGATTCTGCTCTTAAACACCCGACGAAATTAGGGTTTCAAATGTCTCTCTCTGAGACAAAGAGCCATAAAACCCAAAGTCCCGCCTGTGAATTCCAACCCTCTAATTGGCCATGCCGACAGGAAGAGGCTGGATTTCTCCAAAAGTGATAAATGACGCTTCCCCCCTCCGCTCGCTCTCTTCCTCCCTTGTCCTCGTGTCATAATGTAACGTCTCGCCTCCGGGCGAGCTCTTCGCCTTTCTTTTATTTGTTTCTAGTTTAGTTTGTGTTTTTCAGTTTAGAAAAGTCTCTGTGTTTAATTCCAATCGACTGAAAAGAAAACCCCGTGACATATCTATCCAGCAAGTCCATCTACAAGGGACCTTTAAACGAGCGTGCGCTCACTTTGAAGGAGAAACACGCGCACGGGACCGCGTGACGCGCCGGACCGAGCGACGCACGCGCTTCTTCACCAGCCATGCAAAGATGTAACGTTAACTCCGCGTGATTTCCCCGTAGAGATCTTTATTTCTTTTTTGTTAGTCAAAGTTTTGTTTTCCGTAGTTGACTCAGTTCACTTCCACGAAGTGAAACGAACTTAGCCGAACTATTTCCCTTTGGTAATGTTACCCCAAAGACTGTGAACCTCCGTTCAACACGCGCGCCAAGCAGCCCACGTGACGCTTCCTCACACACAAAGGACTCAGCTGACGCGGCCAGACAGGGCCGTACAGGAATGCCTCGACACAGAGAGAGACCATAACATAACTTGTGCAAGTATAATCTCTTTATAGAGCTTCTAAGAAGCTTTAAGATGATGTTTCGTGTTGTAATCGGAGAGGTGAATGTCTTAGGAGGAATCCTGCCACTGTTCTCTCTCTCTCCCCCTCCCCTTTTCTCTCTCTCTTACTCGCTCACGCGTGTAAGTTATCCATTGTCCAAACTTTACGCATTTCTCGTTCATTGATGTCTTATTGTATTGTTCATTGATGTCTATGTGTTTGTAAATACATATATCCCGTGTAACCGTAGTAAATACATAAGTAGTCATGCCTCTATTAAATTAATTATATATTCATTTGATTGATGTACTGTCTCTTTGCTCAGTTTCAAGTCCCTTAAGTGCCAAAGATCTTATGCTACAAGCTTACTAAAATTAAAAATACCTTAAAGAGTATGTGTTGTGTTTATAGGGCGGGAAACCCAATTCTTCTGGCCAGAGAATTGCGTTTCCTGAAATCCTATAAAGTAAGATGATATGGTGGATCCCCACAAATATTATCCTGACAATTGAGATAATTCATTTTACCTGTTTTGTGAAACGTGGTCCGTGTAATTAATTGCAATCAACTTGTGGTTAATTTCAAGGATTCACATGCATGCATGCAGGTAAAATGACAGATCCTCCCTTATCGGGAGATTTATTAACATGTAAGACTGATCTAATCCAAACATGCATGAATAATTATTAATTACCAATTATTAATTATGATATGCAAATTCCCCACGGATTAGATCCGCCCATGAGTCTTTACACAAGTTAAGAAGAAGAAGAATAAGAAGAAGTTTTATTTATATAGCGCCTTTCCAAAGCTCAAGGTCGCTTTACATTGTACATTACAATACATTTAGACACCCACAGAAATATTACAGTCACATAGGATACATATAATCACATTATCCAAAATGCATGTTAAATATGTTTTAACTGGGTCTTGAATGTAGCCACAGATGAGGTATTACGTAGTGTAAGAGGTAGCGAATTCCATAATTGAGGAGCATTAATACTGAATGACCTTCCACCTACAGTAGACAACCGGAAACGAGGGATGGACAGTAAACCAAGTTCAGCTGATCTGAGAGACCGTGTAGGGTGTAAGGGTGGAGTAGGTCAGACAGATATTGTGGAGCAAGACCATTTAATGCTTTGAACGTTAGAAGCAAAACCTTAAAGTGGATACGTGATGCCACGGGTAGCCAGTGAAGTTCATAAAGCAGAGGAGTAATGTGAGCAGAACGCCTAGTAGAGGTGAGAACTCTTGCTGCAGAGTTTTGAACATACTGTAATCTTGCAATACGTTTTTTGGGAAGACCAAGAAATAAGGCATTGCAATAGTCCAGGCGTGATGTGATTAATGCATGAATTAAGGTTTCAGCATCAGCTAAAGAGAGAGAAGATCGTAAATGAGCAATATTGCGAAGATGGAAAAAAGAGTTTTTAACAAGAGAATAAATATGAGAGCCAAAAGATAGAGTTTGATCGAATAAGACACCAAGGTTACGCATCGATGGCGAAGGCTTAACATGAATTCCATCAATATCAAAGGACTGGCCCATCCTTTCGACTGAGGCAATAGAGCCAATCACTAATATCTCGGTTTTCTTATTTAATTTGAGGAAATTCAGTGACATCCAATGCTTGATGTCCCTGATACATGCAGTGAGTGAGTCAGGCAGAGATGGCGGTAAGATAAATTTTAATATCATCAGCATAGCAATGGAATTTAAGTCCATGCCTGCGTATGAAGTCACCGAGTGGATATATGTAGATGATGAACAATAGTCGGTCAAGAATCGAACCTTGAGGAACACCCTGTGTAAGTGAGGCAGTGGCAGATCTAACCCCTTGTATAGTGATATAATACTTTCTGTCACTGATGTAGGAAATGAGCCAGGAAAGAGCATTGCCAGTGATGCCAATATTAGAAAGCCTAGAGATCAATATTTCATGGCAAACTGTATCAAAAGCAGCGCTTAAATCAAGGAGCATCAAAATGTTTATCAGCCCTGAATCCATGGACAAAAGAATGTCGTTAACCACCCGAAGAAGGGCAGTTTCAGTGCTATGTGATGGGCGAAATCCAGACTGAAAAGGTTCAAAAAGATCATTAGCATCCAAATGTGATCGCAAATGTAAAGCAACAACCCTTTCAAGGACTTTGCTCAAGAATGTTAAATTGGATATTGGTCTGTAGTTGTCCATATTTAGGGGGTCTAGGCCTGGTTTAAGAATCGGGGTCACCGCAGCCATTTTTAATTCGGCTGGAACAACACCAGACGCCAAACTACAGTTTATCATATGTGTTAAGAAGGGAGCAACCTCAGGCACACACAACTTAAGCAAAACAGTAGGTGTAGGATCAAGCCGGCAGGATGTGGAATTTGATTTCACAATTAGATCACTTATGGCAGCAGGAGTAGTTAGAGTGAAAGCAGAAAGAGAGTTTGTTAAGTGAGCGGAACCAGCTAACCTTAAATGAACATTTGAATCACTTCTATGAGGAGTGTTTTTGGTAATGGATGCAGTGATTGACTTCAATTAATCAGAGAAGAATTGAGAAAAGCTATTTACAAGCCCCACAGAGGACGAAATAACATGTTGTGGTGGATTTGTGAGTTTGTTAATCATTGCAAATAGTGATCTGGGCCTGCATTTGGAATTTCTAATGGTAGAGGTGAAATAAGAGGATCTTGCATCGTTAAGGGCTGTACGGTACTTAAGCAAGTGTTCTTTGAAAGCCAAAGAGTGCACGATAAGTCCAGTTTTCCTGTATAGTCTTTCTAGGCGGCGACCCTCAGTTTTTATCGTTCGTAGTTCAGGAGTGAACCAGGGCGAGGCACGAGTAGATGGAACCAGTCTAGTTTTAACAGGAGCATGCCTCTCAAGTATTTGAGACAAAGCATTGTTGTATATACAGCAGATTTCTGACGGACAGTTAGATAGTACCCATCACCACCAAGATGGTTCTTTCCCCTTCATCCTCCCCACCGCCACCAGGATGGTCCCTTCCCATACCTCACAGGGGGTCGGCTGTGCCCCTGCCTTCGTCTTCAGGCAGGAAATGCAGAGTCCGGACCCTCGGATTGCGAGCTACGGACGGGGCCTACGCCAAAGAACTTTATATCATAATATTGCTTGCTGTGTTGTTAATAAATGTATAATTGTTACAGTATTTATTCTCCCGAGTCTTTCTGGTAGAACTAGATAGCTGCAGTGTCTGTGCCTCAACTAGGGCGGAAGAAACCGCAGCACGTGCTTCCAAACCCTGAGAAAAGGCACTAGATCTATCAGGTGAGGGCAGAGATAAGGCTGGGTCTGTCTCTATCCCCCTCTGATAGATCCATTTGTGAACCCCTTGACTGCGAGCCTGAGCGTCCTCGTCAAAGAGTGCTAGGCGGGATCGGAGTGTTCGCATAGGAATCACCTCACAGTGCCCTCGAGCGCTGACCGTGCATGCTCCTCACCCAAACAAACAACACAAAGGTTGCACTCTAAAATGCTGCTTGCTCACCATATTGTACTTTTTTTTTGACAGACAACACCAAATAAGATAAACGGTTTCACAGACAGCACTTAATGACGACACAGAAGCTAGCGCTGCTTGGTTTGGGCAGGCTTTATAGTTTCCTGGTACGTGATGTCACCCGCCTCTGACGTTCCGCCACACCATTGGACTGATTTCACATGTGCTTCAAGACGTAATAACGCAGAGCGTTCCCACAGCCGTCAATCGATGGAGCGCAAGTTCCCTTGAAAGGGAACTAGAATTACATTTCCTCTAAAAGCAAATCATTTAAATCACATTACTTGAGTTTTGATAACAGTATAAGCAGTTACATAATCTCTCTATTTATCAATGGATGAGCGCCAAAGAGTCAAACATGGTATTATAATTCATACCAGTAAATGATCCCTGGTCCCATCATTCCTGGGCAAAAATGTTAACTCCCCACATGTAGTAGATGTTGGCTTCCAAGACCTATTCAGCTTTCCCATCAAGACATACCTAACCCAACCATAATATCCTTTAAAAGAAGCAGGCATATTTCTGAAATTAAGGTAAAATAAAAATCTTTAGTTTCTCACAAATAACTGACTATATTATATAGTGCATAATATGGTAATGTATGCAATACTATGCATTACCAAGTAAATAAAACCATTGTCACTTGCATGATAATAGGTTTTTAATTCAATCATAATAACAGTTGTATATCTGTTCATAGTTTACTATTAGCACATTAAATCAAACATTCTAGAATAATAAGCAAATAATAGGATTTTATTAAAGCTGATATTGTCTATTACTATGCCGTCAATATGACTATGGATGATGATTTGGGGGTCAGTTTTGCTTTTACTAGGGAATGTATTCTGTACATTGTGTTAATGGGCAGTGAATCACACCTGCCGAATATTGTTATTATTTCACTGTGCACATATTTGAAGATTGTATTGTATCACTCACTGTTGAGGCAGCTGAAGTCTGAATGGAAAAACATGACTTCCTGCTCTAATCACTGGTCCATCTATGAAACATAAGGCGTAATATGAGTAAGAGAGTTGTGATATTGTGACTTTTTCAACAAGCTTTTTAGTCTACTGTCTACATTTTTTTGTATGTTGTTGTGTTCATGAAAATAATTGTGTTGTGGACTACTATTTTGACAAGGAAGCGTGAACTGTTGTGTTCTGATATAATGTGTGTGAGAACAAAAGTGAATGAGTAAACAAGATGGATGCTTCATTGTTTAATAACTCCTGATGGGGATACTACATATTTCCTGTAATTACATTTCAATAAATAAATAAACGTAACTTATTAAATAGCAGAAATTGTTGAAATCTGTATAAAAAATCTGTTACTTACAAGTTTCTCCACTTACAAGTGTGGCATCCCTTTCTTGTCCTGTAGACAGCAAGACATACTTGTAGTCTTTATTATTTAATGCTCTTTATTCAAGCATCGGTCCCTACTTTGCCTTGTAAGTTCACTATGAGGATTTATTATTTCCTGTTTATGAATGTACACATAAATAAATAATATTTCATAATAACATTGATAATTACAATGTTTCTTGAGCAGCAAATCAGCATATAAGAATGATTTCAGAATGATCATGTGACACTGAACCCTGGAGTAATGATGCTGGAAATTCAGCTTTATCACACGAATAAATTACATTTTTAAATGTATTAAAATAGAAAAAAAGTAATAATATTTCACAATATTACTGTTTTTACTGTACTTTTGAAGAAATAAATGCAGCCTTGGTAAGCATAAGAGACTTCTTTCAAAAATATTTAAAATTGCAATGTTTCCAAACTTTTGACAGGTAGCCTACATAGCCTATACATTTATAGTCATCATTATTTATGCATAATTCTTTTATATTGTGCAAGTTCACCTTTCTTTGAGCTCTCTTGAATGAAGTATTGCTTTAGTTTGAAGTATCTGTCATGGTCACGGTAGGTTGTTTCGTCAAAACTTGTTTGTTCAGTCCAGTGTACGTTCGCATCTCCCGTGAGCTTCACAAAAAAACTGTCCACGTTTATTTCTTTTGTCACTTCCAAAACAACTTTCCCCTCCACAATGTCCCCACTAGTAAAAGTATTGCTTTCATTAATCTTGTTGCAATGAAGACGCACTTTGATGGATCCTGACATTTTTTGTTTCTATGAACGTAGGCCTACACTACATTCAAAGACAGCTACACAGCCGGTGTTACGGTAAATGCCATATATGGTTTGCATCCTGTTGTGACGTTGGTTGGCCCCGGTTCGCGGGCAGTTGTTAATGGAGTATGGAAGAATAAAGACGCACATTGAATCAGCTCTGGATTGTTCATTGCATAGCACACAAACATGGTGTCAGAAGTGAACACTAGATCCTGAACATGGCTTTGAACAGCATTCCTGCCCCGGAGGGCATGCGGATGTCAGGAGACATTTCTAAAAATTGGGACAATTTCAGAGCGGAATTCGAGGACTACGAGCTAGCTACCGGGCTTAGTGAGAAGCCCAATGAGGTGAGAGCGGCAGCGCTGCGGCGATTAATGGGTAATGAATGTCGGCATATCTACAGTCATAATATTGTGTTGAGCGAGGAACAAACGAAGGATCCGAAATTCATACTTGATGCATTGGGAGATTATTTCAAGCCTGCGAAAAATGTGATCTACGAAAGATATATGTTCGGTTGTTGCAAGCAGGAGGTGGACGAGCCTATAGACAACTTTCTCACGAGGCTGCGGGAACGAGCATCGACCTGTGAATACAGGGAGCTCAAAGATGAAATGATTCGCGATAGACTTGTCCTGGGCATTGCCAATGAGAACACGAGGCGGCGCATGTTGCGTGAACGTCAGCTGACTTTGTCACAGTCTGTCGAAATATGCCGACTGGCAGAAGCGACGGAACAACGAGTTAAAGTTATTGACAACACAGTCAGTGACGCTGTGAATATTGCACAAGCACAAAGGCTGAAACGCAGGGATGGGGAAATGAATAATGAGCGAACGCCCAGAACTGTGAAGTGCAAATATTGTGGGGGTGGTCACAAGAAAGGCAGAGATCAGTGCCCCGCATATGGAAAGACTTGTCGATCATGTGGTGTATTGAATCATTTCGCAAAAGTGTGTAGAGCGCGTCAGATTGCCGACAGGTCCGGCAGAGTGAATGTAATGATGGATGATGAGCAGGATGCGCAAGGGCCCTACAGCGAGGGTCGACTTTTTGCTGCTGAGGAATGCATTGACACAGTAAAGTGCCCCGGTCCAAGATGGTTCGTTAACCTGACATTTAATAAAAGAAAGCAGGCCTGTCAGCTAGACACGGGAGCAACTTGTAACGTTATGAGCCGTATAACCAAAGAAAAACTGGATTCAGAGAGCCCTTTGCAGCCAAGCACAACAAGACTGAAATTGTATTCTGGTGCCACAATGCTGTCTTTAGGCCGATTTCATACAGAATGCACAATAAAGAGCACCAAACACAAGCTAGTCTTTGAAGTGGTCGAAGCCGATCAAGAACCATTACTATCAGGTGACACATGTGAGCGGCTAGGGCTCATGAAATTTACCATCCCAGAAGAGCTTCACAGACTGATTGCTTACTCCGACATGCCTTTCACAAAGCAGCAGTTAATTGACAATTTCAAGGACGTGTTTAATGACCCAGTCGATTCAGTCCCAGGAGAGGTCCGCTTTGTGCTCGACAGCAGCGTGTCGCCTGTGCAATGCGCGCCACGGAACGTGCCAGTGGCCTTGAAAGCCAGAGTAAAAGAACAGCTGGATAAATACATGAGAGACGGTCACATCACAAGTGTCACGGAACCCACACCATGGATCAGCAACATGGTAGTCATAGCCAAGCCAGACAAAGTAAGAATATGTATAGACCCAAAACACCTTAATCAAGCACTGCAAAGATCGCACTATCACATGCCAACGCTGGAAGACGTTCTGTATAAATTACCCAAAGCACGTCTGTTCACGCTGGTAGACGTTCGCGATGCCTTCCTACACTGCAAGCTGGATAATGAAAGCAGCTTAATGACAACTTTCTGGACATCATGCTGGCGGATGAGATGGCGTAAACTGCCTTTCGGCGTCTCCATAGCACCAGAAATCTATCAGCGTAAGCAACACGAGCTGTTGATGGGACTCCGAGGCATAGAGCCCATAGCGGATGACATACTGGTTGTTGGCTGCGGTGACTCGGACGCAGAGGCCGAGTTAGATCACGACAGAAATCTCGGCGCTCTGATGGAGCGATGCAGAGCTGTGAAACTCCGGCTGAGTGAAAAAAAGGTACAATTCAAACTCAAAGCGGTGCACTTTCATGGGCACATATTGTCAGCGGAAGGATTACGAATTGACCCAGAAAAGACAAAAGCAGTCCTGGCAATGCAGACACCGCAGGATGTAAAAGCAGTTCAGCGCTTCATTGGATTTGTGACGTACCTGGCCAAGTTTCTCCCACAAAGAGGCAAAACTCGACGGAACAGATCCATGGCTAGCAATTCTGCACTGGCGTAACACGCCCACTGAGGGATTGGACAGCAGTCCTGCTCAACGACTGATGTCACGCAGACTTAGGTCGGGGCTTCCCATGACAAACAGTTTACTTTTCCCCAAGGTGGTCGAAGGAGTTTCGGAGAAACTAAGGTGGAAACGACGCATGGCAAAATTCCATTACGACGCGAGAGCCAAAGACTTGCCAGAGCTTAATGTCGGTGAACACATCAGAATGAAACCACTGCCTGGAGACCGCACGGGACGGTGGCGGAGAGGCCAGTGTCTGGGAAAAGTGAATCCGCGGTCTTATTTGGTGGATGTGGATGGCACATTATACAGGCGCAACCGTGTGGATTTGCGAAGGGCTGAGCGCTCCGCCCAGTTTAATCACCAAGGAGCAGGGATCAGTCAGGGCTCGGTAGCCAGCGACGGTGAAACAGCAATCAGAGAGGGCGACACATCGGACAGCACGGAAAATGTGCCAGAGCAAGTTCAAGAACAAAAGCTGTCAGTGAGTAATATGCCTGCCCAGCGCGAAACCCTGATCATTACGCGCAGCGGCCGTCAGTCACGTCCACCACAGAGACTGGACTTGTGATTTTCCCTTAGTGGTGTAGACAGACTAACGTACAAGTAATGCAGTTCAGTTCTAGGAATGCACAGCAGAAGTTGGTTTAGTAACCACTCATGTTCGGGTTGTTAATTAATGGAGGGGGTTCTTATTGAAGTGTGGTAACGTTGTAAAGAAAGGGAGATGTTACGGTAAATGCCATATATGGTTTGCATCCTGTTGTGACGTTGGTTGGCCCCGGTTCGCGGGCAGTTGTTAATGGAGTATGGAAGAATAAAGACGCACATTGAATCAGCTCTGGATTGTTCATTGCATAGCACACAAACAGCCGGCTTGCTCTTCCAATTCTCGTATAGGTGAAGCAGGAGTGACAAAGTTCGTGCTTCGAAAAAAAAAAATGTTTTGAGGGCGAGGCACTTCCTACACCTGGTCAGTACAGATCTTTCAGTTCAAAGTTCACTTATCCACCTTATTCCTACGCCCCATGACGCTTTGCGTGAATTATGGGTGTAACTCGTTGAGCTGTAAACAATCAGTGAAAGGCTCGCTCTATGAACGCAATGCGTTAAAAAAGTGTCACAATGAGATGACATTAATCTACTCACCCTTCAACCATCGAACATTAAAAGGAAATTTAAAAGTGTAAAAGCATCAACAAAGTAGCTACTTTCAACAGACCAAATAACCCCAAAAGCTTGAGTCTTTGGTTAAATATCACTGTAGTAGGCTAAATTTGTATTATGTAACTTATGTTGCCTTAATCAAAAATGTTCATTAACTTCAGCATTACGTGATACTATTTCAAAGTGATTTCCGTCATTTTGACAGATTTGCATTTACATGTGAAAACAAACCTGGAAAGAGACGTGAGGATTTGAGGAGATTAACGAGAGATTCTTCGTGCATCCCAGTGAATTATTAATGGAATATCATAAATTTAATTCAGGAGAACAGACCACAAATGTGCAGTATATGTTGTCCTTTTTCATACTTTTACTGTGGATTGCAAAGGGAAAAAAGAAAATAATCATGAGGAAAAGAAAGCAGCGACTGAAAAGAGCTCTTGCCATATATTCTAGTTATATGTCACGTTAAAATTCCAAGTATAATGTTATTCTCATGATGTAAATAAATCATGAAGGAAAGTTGACAGCTCATCCAGTGAAACTGATGGATCAGCTTTATTTGTAGGGCAACCTTATGATTTGAAATGATTCGTTTCAGCCTTTTTGAATGGAAGTTCCCCAAACCTGAAGTGCCACCCCTAATTCAAAATGCAGTAAGGTCGTCAGAAATAAGGTCGACAGAAGGAGACCCGAGCGAACGGGGGACTTGATTGTTTACCCCAACAGAAGATTAATCTTGTTTTTAATAGGCTAAGTGTTATTCCAATAGGGGTAAAGGACGCAATAGGAAAAAAACAAAAGGAATTGATAATGAAACTGACACACCTGGTTCAACTCAGTAGTTCATTAGGAGAGACTGCAGGACTAAAATTGTGTGAGTCCAATGACCATTTTGAAGTGCTTTCAACTTCGTCAAGTGGGCGAAGGAAGTTTATTTAGACAGACCCTCGACCCCTCGATTTACTTCAGGTAGATACAGACCACAATGTAACATGATTGTGATGACATAGCAGATCATGCTTAATTTACACACAACTGTAGTGTATGATATTAGAGTTATTTTGACATTTAACAGTATAATACTTTTAGATACCTTAAGCTGACTGTTATAGTTTATTGTATCGTTTTCATTGTCATTTGTGTAATTTTTTTAACTGTAAATAATAAATCAGCTCCATTGCTGATTCAAAGTGATCAAGGGCTTAGGGTGTTCCATTTAAACACATTGAAAGAGTTCCGCCATTAGTGGGCACTTACATTCAAGTGAACTATATGGAGCGAAGTTAGCAAGGGAACGGCATAAAACATTGAACTTAAACGTAGCCATGCAAAATGTGCAGTGGTGGGACGTCCACAGGACAGGTTTGAGGAGCACTGTTTCCCTTCGTCGGTCACTAATACGTACTTCATGACTGACGAATAGGGATCTCGCTTGAGAGACCAATCCTCTTCGAGTGTAAACTAAACGAGCCAATACACATTGGCATGCGATAATTGCACCAGCTGCTCTGCCTCACAGCGCGAGC